ATTATTATTATTATTATTATTGTTGTTGTTGTTGTTGTTGTTGTTGTTGTTGTTGTTGTTGTATTATTGTTATTTATAATTTGTACAAATAACCTCCCTGTGGTTCGACCCCGGTCTTGCCGGGTTATTTAATTGTTATTTTATAATTATTGTTTATAGTTTGTACAATTAACCTCCCTGTGGTTTGACCTCGGTCTTGCCGGGTTATTTATTACTTCGACACTCCTGCACTTGGGAGAAGACATCAATCTTTTAGTCGTGTCAGTGATCCTGTATATAAAGATTGATTTTATTTTATTTTATTTTTGTTTCTTTTTGAGTGATTTTTGCTAGTTTCTCTCACCCCGGTCAAATGGCGGATAACGGTACACCGTAACTTATGTCGGTTTTTTCAGTTTCCCACAAAAACTGATATCTATGTATATATTTGTGTAATTCTTTGAATCTCTCTTCCAATTCTCATTTGATAATGGACACTAATCTTGAAAAATTGAAAAAGTATTTTCCCGCTCTGCCTTAGAATGCGATTACAAAAATTTACCGTGCTAGATGTGCAAGATTGAGATTGTTAATGAATTATAGAATTCCTAAGGATATTCGCTGGAAAGAGAGAAAGCAAGAGCATGATCTTGATCTGGAAACCAAGATGCCTTAATGCATGGCCAATGCCTCCTTTTATAGGCCAAAATTGGGAATTATTGATTTGGTGATTAATTGATGAGTGGGTGACCAACTCTTGACTTGGCAACAATCCTTATCTTTTCTTATTTGCCTAAAATGTTATTGATAACATCAAAATTAGAGCCACTTGAAAACATTAAAGTTGTAGAAAATTGTCTCAGCTTTCTTGTGTAAAATATTCAGCTCATTTGAACTTCTAGAACTCCAGATATGATCCAAACACTGAACAGTGCTCGGGCTGGAAAATAGATTCGGACTTCTTTGTTGTTGCTACAATTTGGACTTGAAAATGACCTTTTTAGATCTTAGGCTCCATATGAAAGTTGTAGGCCTATGTCTTACTTTTGCATCCATATAAACTAGATCTAAATCTGAGATCTACAGCTCTAGATATGACTCAATTACCGAACAGTGTTCTAGTTTGGATTGCACCGACATCTCTTTTCTAAGTTTGGTCATCTCTTTGTCCTTTCAATTTCAGTTCTTAAATTCATCAATCAATCCTTTCATTTATGTGATAGGCCTGCATTTAAAATGAACATTTACCACAAATTAAAGGTATCTTATATTATTAGATAAGTTATTATAAAACATGCTTTAGTTAAGGAGTTATTGATACTTCGAGTGCAAAATGATTATATAAAATCTTAATAAAAATGCACTTTTAAGTGCTAATCAGTTATTCTCATTATGAAGCGACTGGTTATCTTCTTCAGTAATATTTTCTAAAAATGATGTGGATACCCTATAAAATCTACCACTTAAGGTATGTGATCAAACTCTCATGGACATTTAGGAAGAGAATAAAAAAAAAGGAAACAAAAAAAAAGAAACAAAGTTAAATAAAGAAAAGTGAAAAGTGAAAATAAAATAAATACTATAATTTATACAAGAATTTACCTCCCTAGCAATGACGCTAAAAACTTGATAAAACCAAAATATTAATGTCTTCTCTCAAGTGTAGAAGTGTTGAAGTAATAAATAACCCGGTAAGACTAAGGTCAAATCACATGGAGGTTAATGATATAAATTATAAATAACAACAATAACAACAACAACAATGATAATAATAATAATAATAATAAGTTAAAGAGTACTTTGAGATTGTAAGATTAATGTGAAGATTAAATAATGGTAAAAACATTTGTCAATGTCAAATGATCCACTAATGGTATTTCAAACAAACATAATATAAACTCTCAATACTCAACTAGAAACCATATACAAAAGAGATTCCAATCAGATTATAAATTGTTAACATGATTACATTAGTTATCTTATTTGAATAATGCTAATATTTGTAAATGTTGTTAGATATTAATGATTATAACTTATGTTAACAAAAAATCAAGTTCCTTTCATAGCACAAATATCGGTTATACTATACAATTTGTGCTATGAAAGTGCCAAGCATTTGTTGTACCAAGGTTATACAACATAAATCTAAATTATCCATTTAACAAGCAAAGTATTAAGAGTGAACAAGATAACAAATAAAAAATATGTTAGTATCAAACATTAAAGTCCATGTTGAGTTTATACTATAGTTATTCTTATACCATTAGTGTAACCTTTTCATCTTGACATAAAAAACTTAGCTAAACATAATAAAAAATAGAAACATTCTAGGGGGTAACTCAGTCATTAATGATTGTGATATCCATTTTTGCAAAACCACTAATATGTTTTTGTTTATTCATACTTCAAGTCTTATTAGTGGGTTCTTATCAAATGTTGATCACATTTCTTTTAAGATCAAAATGCCAGAAATAAACTTCTTGGTCTCCAAGTTTGGGAAAAGCACTAAAACCTCCAAAACCAAGTTATGAAATCACTATTGTAAAACCAATATAAGTATAGAGCTCATAATTGTAAAATGTACCCAAAATTGTTGCATTTTGATCACATGGCTAAGCTTTGATGAATAAGGATGCATCTTTGATTAAATCCATAAAAATCCTAGCTTGAAATCCTATTAATACCCTTGAAAAATTAGGGTAGGGGGAGAAAAGAGAGAAAAAAGACAAAATAATATTGAAAAAGAAACCCTAAATGTGAAGGTTCAAAAGCCTAGCACTATATTCCCTCAACTTTGAGAGAAAGTAGCAACCTTGAAAAAAAAAATGGCAATAACCATTGTTAGAGCTTGGAAGGTATAAAACCTTCACTTAGTCTAGACGATGTTAATAAGGCACGTCTCTAGCTTGTTCATGCATGTTTAATGATGTTTCCAATCATTGTTTTTATCACATTGATTGTGATTTTGGTTTCAATGAATATGAAAAAAATGTCATTTTTATTGTTTAAATCTTGTTCTGAGTTATTTGTTGATGTTCTTAAATGCTTAGGTTATCTTTATTGGATGAGTTTTGATGAAATGAGGTGATTTTAAAATCTAACAAATATAGCAACAAAGTTATGGTTATTTTTATGATGCATTTTATGGGTTTATAGGTTTTTGTTAGGTCTTATTGAAGGTTTAGAAAAGTAATTTGAATTCAAAGTGCATAAATACGTAGGCTATTTTAAGTTGACAGTTTTGAAATTTAGAAACCTCTTACATGATTTTAATATTATTTGTTAGTTTTTTTTTTTTCAAACATGTTTTGTTATAGTAGTATGACTTGTTAGAATGAAGAAATCATGTTTTAAAGGTAAAAAAATGCCAACTTTTAGAGTTTGATGGTGTCGGGTATTGTTGGGTTTTTTTTCTTAGGTTTTTAAGATAATATTTTTCATGTTCTTGGAAAGAACAATGCTTAGCCTAATGATTTGGACTAATTTGGGTCCAATTCTTTACTCTAAACCATTCAAGCACCTTGATTAGTAAATAATTTAGAATTTATTTGTACTAATAACAAGTTTTTAGGAGTTTTAATCCTATAATTTTGGTTTTGAATCGAAGCTCATTTTGATACAGAATGAATGTTCTTCATATTTTTTATTTTTTGGTGTTTTATCCATTTTGTTTAAGAATTTTTAAGTTTTTGTGCTATTTTTGTTTAATTTGTTTTTCGCTTTGATTTTGTTTTTTGGTTTGTTTGCTTGTTGAACTAGGATCTTTGATTTGATTTATAGTCAAATTAAAGATTTCAGGTCAACCTTATCGAGTCTAAAGTTAATACCTTGTTTACCTTGCAATCTTTCTACTTAAACATGTTTGGATAATTTTATTACAAATTGAAATGGATTTTCCAAACAAAGCCTAAAAGACTAAAAAAATATAATTTTTCTTTTGTATATGGCCAAAAATCCTTAAAATTATTTGAGCATTTAAAAAAAACTAAAATACTTTGGCATTTTTTAAAAGATAATATTATATAGATTTTACAATAAGTTTGTAAAATTCCAAAGCATTTTAATCTATATTTCAAAAAATTTAAAAATTTATTTTTGTTAAGAGAGATATTTTATTCACTTTTAATATAAAGATAAAAAACCTAAAATGAATTAATATTCAAAATATTATTAGGGATAATAATTTATTATTACTCACTTTAATATATATACATGTATAAAAATATATATGAGGTTAACAACAAAGATATAATTGAGAATATTATAATTCATTCACTCATAATATAAAAATAAAAAAAAGCTACATGAAATTTTATATGAGATATTAGTTGGAATAACATGATGATAAAAAAAATCAAAGTTTATTATCAAAAAAAACCTTGATAATAATTGAAAATATTTCACAATTTATTAACCTAAAAAATTAGGATTTATTCATTATTACAGGCCTACTATAGTGTATTGATAAAAATAAAAATATTATCAAATCATAGCAAACATATATATATATATATATATATATAACTTATTTCAGGTAGGACATATTAAAATTATTAATACATTTCTTTTACATAATTAATCTCTCACCTAAAATATTTAAAAAACTTATTAGAATTCTTACCATAATACCCCATAATACCAGATAACAACTTTTTTATTTAACCGAAAATCACTTCAAAACTATCACCTAAAAAATATCGACACGCCCCCGCAATAAGGGTATAACGAGTGTTGATCACTCAGATAATCTTCTCATCAACATGCTACCAGTTAATTGTTTTTATCTTTTAAAAAGGAGGAAACTGCATGGTAAAAAATTTAATCCTAGAAAAAGACAAGTAACAACCTTACAAAAATCAAATAGAGTACGAGAATTTAAGACCTCCATCCTTAAGAAAAGGTTGTCTCCTCCACAACAACACAAGGAAAAAGAATATGCTTACGAAGGAGAGAGAAATATAATTAAAATTAAAATTGAAAGTGGTAAAAAAATAATTAAAATTGTATATTAAGGCGTACCATCATTCACAATGATTATATGACATTGATATAGAGTTTGAATACAAGTAGTTGAAAGATAACATTACTCAGGCTAACATACAACTAATAATCCGACAAAATTTCTCTAGGAAAAATTTCCAGCCATTCCAATCACAACGAATGTTCTATTCAGGAGGCTAAAACCCTCGAGCAAAACACGTTAAACGCACTGGAAATGCCGAGTTAACATAAACATTCACAAAATGCCAAAATGTAAAAAAATTTAATTCCGAAAGAAAATTGCCAGCTAAATGGTTAGAAGAGCCCTGAACTCCTAACGATACTATACAATAACCAATCGACTTGCCTTTTAGAAGATTAGGTAATGGTAAAAATTCTCCGCATTTTCCACCATTGCCAGTTAGGTGGTTCCATTATATCAGTCCAGTGCAAGGGAACCTTTAAATTTGATCTTCAAAATTCAGCGAGAACTCTTAGCCATCCATGTTCTCACCATTTCCCTGAGTCAAGAGGTAAAGTTCAGTGTATTAGAAATGCCATGCTTAAGCAGAAAATGTAGCTTTGTCGGTACTTAAAGACGGCCAAAACCAGATCATAATAGATAAAGTGGTACCATTCCCATGTGTTAAAGCTCTCAAAATCTTTGTACTGAAAACTATAACAGCTGTCAGAGTTGTCGCAGTGTTCATAGAACTGCCAAGGACTCACACAAGAATAATCAGGAGATCACTCACAGACTGATGTATAAACAACTACGTGAATAAGAACAATTGAAAGGCAACTGAATTTTATCCAGTGTTGTCAAAAGGCACTTAGGCGCTGGCTTAAGCTCTACAGCAAGGCCACACCGCCTTTATTAACCTCAAACGATGAATTTCAAGAAAATGCTGCCTAGGCAAGCGCCTGGTGAGTGGCTGCCTAGGCAAGCGCCTAGTGAGTGGATGCCACAGGCGTTAATGCTAGTGCTTGCTTAAAATATATCTTTTTATGATGAATTTTTCTTTTTCTTCCTTTAGAGGGCATTTATTTTTGTAAAAAACAAAAATTAGGGTAAAAAAATCATTAAAGTGAAGGAAAAACACACAAAGAAAGACAACTTAGAAGAGAAATATCAGCTACACATTCATTTGTATAGAAGAAGTCATACTTTCAATTTTTTTTTAGTGCTCTATATTTTATTATTTATCATTTTTTGTTTCATTTTCACTTATTTTCTTTCTTCACTCTTTTGCTCTCTCTCTTTTCCCATGTTATTCCTTCTCTCTCTCTCTTCACATGTCCATGTCCATTTTAATGGTGTTAAAATTTCTATTTTTTGTTTTTTTTTTAATTCTTGTTGTGTTTTTTAAACTTCAGTTGATAGTGTGTACCTGCATTCATAGTTCATACGAAAATTAAAAACTTTGGTTTGTACTTAGCATATATTCAGTAAATTAAAATTATATTTAGCAATATTTTTACATTTCACTTTCAACAAGAGAGATCTGCATGTGAAGGAGAGGAAAGCATCGATGATGCTTTTGAAGATTAATGCATGATTAAGTTTGCTTTTTAATCTATTTGACTACTTGCTACTTTAAATTATCTTATTTTGTTTTATGAGTGAAAAATATAATTTTATATGATTATGTTATAGTATTTTCTATTTTCTATTTTATTTTCTAATGATTTAATCTTAATTGGAAAGATATATATTTTGGATTTATATATTATAATATAATCTTATTTTACACATATTTTTTAAATTTATAGCATATCTCCTTGGTTCGTTCACGCGTGCACCTCAAGCATTTTACAAGCTTGACACCTTTTAGCGCCTTTAACAACACTGATTTTATGGAAGATTTGTGAGCCTCAGAAGTAGACTCACCGGATCAAACTTCCCAACTATTGCTGAATCTGCCTCATCGTTTACCTACAGAAAATGATCCCGTCAGCTGAATCTTTAAAAAGTTTAAGATTGATAAATATGATGGACCTCCATTGAAAATAGAAGTTTGGTAGAACTGTTTAGAAAGCAGATTGAACTAGGTGACAGTATCTGAGAATATATATATCAGCAGATGGGACGTGATAAACATAAGCTAATTGATTTACAATAGGTAGATAGATTTCCATTATCTGAAACCATTAGCTACACCACTATGCAACTTAACGACAGAGATAGCAAGCAAAATGAAAGGGGCCTAGGACATGTGGAATAGTCCAAAAGTCAGTTATTTCAAGATTAAGCATTAATGAGCAGCACAAGTCACCTCCTGGAAATTGCGTCTACAAGCAATTTTGGCAAAAGATAGAAAAAGGCATCCAAGTTCAGTCTATAAATTCACTGGGTATAAATATTCAATTGTGAGCCCAAAAACAGGGAAACTCTGGGCCAAGAAGAACTAAACTGAAATTACAAACCCCCGCAGAACTTTTTTTTTTTTTTTTTAATGAGAGTAGGATGGAGACACCATAACAATGCCTGCTAGCCACGAAAGATATACTTGTGTTCGGTTCCTATACCACAACTTTATAGCTCAAAAACAATAGAAAATACATAACATTAACAATGCAGTTCTTGCTTCATTTCATCATTGCAAATAAAGATTCCCACTGAAACAAATAGAGCTCGACAGAAAAACGAAGTTCAAAGTCTTGAATTAACAATGAGTCCCGGCATATAAAGTAAAAATACCTCTGACATATGATCAATATCTTGAATCAAACATTTAACATGAGCCGAGTTAATCTCATCAGCTCTCGTGATGTATGGTTGCCTCTCCTGTACAGCCAAAACAAGTTCGCTCATCAGATAGGATATTAGTTCACTACAGAGTGCAGATGACAGACAACTGTACTTATGATCATACCTCCTTTGACATGTTCCTCCAAGTCTCGAACCCTTTACAATCAATATCAATTATGTTCCAAATGTTGCCAGTCTTCATGAAATCTTCCCTAGAAAAATGTCCACAAAATAAAGCAAATGTTTTCAATTTAAAAGAATCAGTCTATTAACAGTTTGAATTGCACAAATATGAACAGACAAAGGAGGCACAATCATTGGAAGTTGTTAATTTGTTTTCTGAATGAAAACTAATAAACCCCAAAATGATGTAGTACATGAAGAGACGGAAAGGCGATCTGGGTTGGTCACGAAAGCTTTGTTGGACAACGTTTTGTTTTCCATCCAAGCCTTTGAATCTCTTCACATTGTTTTTGGTTCCAGCTTCACATTCATGCAAATCAGCCAAAGCGATTGCCACCAAAACCCCACAATTGTTGCTGCAATGTGTATAAGAATGAAGAAAAAAAACTACTAGTAATTTTTTAAAAAAAAAAACAGAAAACAAATTAAGAACAGCATTTTATAAGTTTAGATACCAGTTCTCGAAGGCACTTCCATCAGGAGCACGACGGATTCCACGGACCCTTTTGCGGGTTCTTGGCGGGTTCCCCATTAAAGTACCTTTTCAAGCTCTGCAGAATTACTCTTTGTTTGGATTATGGTTCGGGGTAATTTTATAAGTATTTGTTGTTTTTTTTAAATATATTAAAAATATATTTTTTATATTAATATATAAAAATAAAAATACTTAAAAAATATTATTTTAATTTTTTTTAAATATTCGAAATTAAAAAAAAAATACTCGCAAACACCCCCATTAGTTTATTATAATTTTATTTATTTATTTTTTCTCAAATGATAACGCTAAAGACGTCAATTAGGTGGTGTTCAAGTGGTAAGGATTTGGGATTAAGGGGTTTATTTCCTTTGTGGTCTCAGATTCGAGTTTTTGGTAGCTCATATGATAACCACTGGAGGCTTATATGGTCGTTAACTTCAGGGCCCGAGAAATGCGTAAACTGACCCGAAATGGTCGTTAACTTCAGGGCCCGAGAAATACGTAAACTGACCCGGACACTTACGTTAATCTAAAAAAAATATTGTACGGGAAAAAAAAAATAAAAATAATAATCTTATGTCGTAAAGTGAAAAACTTTTCCCGCGGCTGCCCGAAAAAAAGAAGAAAAAGACGAGAAGGTGCATGGACTTCCAATTAGAAGTTGACACGGAAGAAGCATCGAGGTACGTGTCGTGATTGCTGTGGTAAGATAAGACCACCTGCGAACACGTTCAAGGTATTTTTGTTAATACCCTTCAAAACGATAACATCTTTTGCCCCTGAACGATGCTCCCCGCGCGCATTTAAAATTGAAGCAAGTGTCCGTTGTTGTCGTGGAGAATAAAGCCTTTAAGTTACTGGGTGTGGACGGAAAATACACGTCTTTTGGCCATCCTAGTAATACTTTATATTCAATCTAATTTTTGCATCTTCATCTACAATGGAAGTGCTTAATTATATTTTAGTTAGAATAAATACATAGTAAATAAATAAAATACACAAAGCAAGCGTTAGAGAGTATTTTTCTCTAACACAGCCCACGGACAAATGCACATACCACAGCTCCGTCACAATCATCTCCCCATTTTATGCACTCCTGTCCAGGATACTTCAGCAAAGTAGCAGTTCATATTTGCCAGAATCTGAATTAGTAAAGTATATCTATGACATAAGAAAAGGCATAAATAATGTTCAATTAATAGTAAATGTTTTGTTACTCCTGCTTCAAAGTCACCTGACTTGTCTCATGGGCTGAGCATGATTAAAAATATAATAGTGATTGATAATAATAATTATCATAATTTATTAGTTTAAACGGTTAAATGATATTTCAAAATATAATTTATATTATTTTATAATATATTTTTTTAAATAAAATTTTTTAAAATCTCAAACTTACATATATTTACATTATTTTATATTTAATTTTTATAAAATAAATAAAAATAATAAAATTCAAACTCGTGATCATTTAATTATTAAAATTTTAATATTATATTAAAAAACTATCTCAACTTAATAAATTAAATTATTAAATAAAATTTTAAAATATAATTTATATTATTTTCTAGTATTATAAATTTAAATGAATCCATCCTCCAATTTAAATGAATCCATCCACCGCAACATAAGACACATGTAAGAGAATTGCTCATTAGACTCCCAATGCCTTCCATAGGAAAAAAATTAATATGAAATACCCAGCTCAGAGTACGAGCCAGGTCGAGGGACAATAGAGCAGCAAGTACACCATACAAAATACATCATCTATCTCCAAGAGAAAAAAAAGGATACAAACCTACAAGGGCATACATTAGCAGCACAAGCAAGCTAAAATCATAACTTCAAACCAATAAAAAGTAATTAAAAACATTTCACTACACAACCAGAAACTAATTTACTGCATCTTAATGCATCTTCATATTGTTCAAATCTTGCATCTTTTTCTTGCCTGGTTTTGTCATGGGCAGCGATATATGAATGAACCCAAACTTTCTCCTTTGTGTATAGAACTGCTGCTTCTGTTCACCTCCATGTTTTTCAACTCTTGGATGAAACGTTAGATCCTCCCTCAGTTCATGAAGCATTTGACTCAAAGCCACCTTTTGCCTCTCTGTGCCGCCTTCTGCTGGCCTTGCTGCAACATATTCTTCCGCTCTAATTTGCTTCCTGCTCAGAACATCCCTCATCGAAACTGTGGTTCTCAGAACAGGCTTCGGGCCATCACCAATTAGATTGGGGTTGTTCACTTCATTTAATGGAGAATCCTGCCGTTGATCGGGTGGATGCAAATGGAAATTACCAAGCCTGGTATGATAATATTCGTCCTGTCCCACTTGATCATCCTCTGGCATCCATTTGCAGAGAGCCTCTTCAACAGCAACTTGCTTTCTATTGGCCATTTCGACTTTGTTCAGAGCCTCTTCTAAGGCTTGTTTGCTTAGTTTAACTTCTTCCGTTGCTTCCCTTAGCTTATTTAGAATAGACATTTTAGTAAAGTGAACTTCTTGCTTTGGAAGCTTCAAAGTTTCCACTTTCTTCTGGGAAAGCTCCTCGGCCTTCTGATCTTTAGGATTTAGAGGAGATCTTGCTTCAAAGGAGGGAACTTTCTCTGGTTCTGGCAAGGCATATCCCGATGAGCTCTCATCAGTTGATAGAGCCTTGATTTCTGCCAGGGCAACAGCTTCTGCTGCTCTTGCTGCTTCTTCCATCTTCTTGGCTGCCAGCAACCTCAATTCAGCAGTTCTGATGTTAGTCTTGATGTTTTCAGCTAACATTCCTTTTAAAACTTCCGTTTTTTGGACTTCATCCATTTTCATTAAATGCCCTGCCTTGTAATCAGTTTCAACATTATCTGCAATATGCGGCTTCGTTCTTGCTTGCTTCAGCTCTTCCTCCAGAGATAACCCCCCTGCAAATTTTGATGTTAGCCTCTCACGGGTCTTTTTGAGTAAGGTTTTCTCTTTCTTCATTTTCTTATTCAAAGACTCAACAGAAGTTTGAATCACCCCAAGGTCGTTAATGGTTTTACCAAGGTTCAATTTAGCTTGCTTCAACTCCATTAAGATCAGATCAGGCGATGCCGTAGGGCAAGGACTTAAGCTTATTAACCTCTGTTCGCTGTTGTTGACGTGAAAGCTATAGTTTCCCTTGTTCATTTCTTTGATAGCAGGACTTGACATCGGTTCATCAGGAACTGTCATGCATCTAAGCGCTTCCTTTTGCAGCTGCTGCTTCAACTCTTCAACAACCCTTTTTGTAGTTCCAAGTTCTTCAAGGACATCCAGTGTTTCCAATTCTTTCACAATCAGATGCTTCTCCAATTCTGCTGCTTGCTCCTCCACCTTTTTTATGTCGATATCCTCAACGCCCTGTAGCTCATGGTTATTATCTGAAAGGGAAGGTGCAGAAAGACACCATGTGCAAATTGCAATGCATGCTTTAAAGATCACACATCAGATTGGGAAATCAAATACCAGTAGATTCCTCATATGAAACCTTTTCAGAGCAAAATATAGGCTCCGCGTTGGGTACTGAGACAATGTGAAGATCAATCTACTAGAAAAGATTGAAGTAAGTAGTTTCTGGCAGTCAAAGATTTAAGGAGGATGGGAAGATCAATCTACTAGAAAATTGATCTCTTCTATAAGAATATTTAAAGGGGCTAAATTAGAGAGAAGTTTTGAACTGAAGCATGGTATCTTTATGTAATTTCGAAGCCATCGATCTTGATTAAACAACAATGAACAGTCAGGCAACTATTTGTAAGGGAGGGATGTGGAATTCACATTGTGTGAAATTTTGCTCATATATAGCTTTCTGTTTAGTATGATTTGGCATGTTTAAGCTAATTGCTTAATGCCCCAGGATGTGCCAGTAATTATGAAGAGAGAAAGAAGATCGTTTCGTGTGAGCTGTGACAAATGAAATGACAATTATTTAGAGACATTACTTTCATACGTACCTTTTAATAAACAACTTTTTTTAAAAAAAAAAAATTATTATTAATTTTCAGACTAATTTATATATTTTTTAATTAATTTTATAAATTTTAAACTTAATAATAATATAAGCTTTTAATAACATGAGATTTGTATAATTTTAAATTCTAAAATTATATAACCACCTTATTCATTGAATAGTTAAAAAAATTATTTTCCAAACCCTACAATTTCCAAAACTTCATTTCTTTAGTCTAGTTTTTAGATGATGGAAAGTCGCGGGAAAAGAATAGCAGAGACAGGGCTTTTGGCTAATGATGTTTCAACAAGAAAATAGAACAATCTTGATATCAATAAATTTTAAATGAAGATAGTTTATATCTCTAATCATGTTAAAAAAAACAAATTATAATCTAAAAAATTAATTTAATTTTAAATTTTTAGACTAATTGGATTTAAAAATAGAGTTATTGAGGTTGTAAGGATATTTTTTGTGTGAAAAAAATTAAAAATAAACCTAAAAAAACTTAGTCTCTAATTTTCTGAACATTTAAGGTGTTTAGTCGATGACATAATGTCTACTTAAATAAATGACTAATTATCTATTCATTATTGTTTTTTTTTTAAATAAATATGTAAGCTGACTCTCCATATCCAAGCAGACCTATATTTTTTAAGTCATGTTTAAATCTTTTTCTTTTTTAGGCAAAGCTCATTTACATAATTTTTTAATGGTATTTACTCTTTGATTTTCTCATCATCGAAAGCATTTGGATTATATTTTAATTAATGATAAGATATCTGTTTAAATAAAAAATTAATTATTTATTAATTATTTTTTAAAAAATAAAACTAAGTTCAGCCTATGTTTTTTTTTTTAAGCCAAATATGCTTAGATTTTTTTTGTACACTAGGCCCATGGTGTAGTTTTTTTTTTATGGCACTTGAGCTTTTTTTATTTTTATTTTTTTAATTATTGAATAAAATTATTTTTAAATAAAATTATTTTAATGATAATTAAAAGATTATTCCTTTATTCCATGTTTTTATATATAAGATTATAACTTTTATGGTGATATTAAAAATTAATCAATGAATAATTATATATGAAATTAATATGGAGAAAAAAATTAAAAAATTTTCAGGAATATTCAATAAAAACAAAATTATT